AGGAAAAAGGGGGGGAAATGAAATTCAAATTTCCCCCAAAAAATAGGCCTAAAAGAGAGATAAAGAGGCAAGTGGTAGCTGCTGGCCCCAAACTGAAGAGAGCTTTTCAACAAAGTTGAAGAGGGGCTCAAAACAAGACATTTTACAGTTTACATCAAGCCACGAAACAGCTCACAAATAAGCCTAAAATACCATGCAAAAATAGGCCTAAAAGAGAGTTAAAGAGGCAAGTGGTAGCTGCTGGCCTCAAACCGAAGAGAACCCTTCAACAAAGTTGAAGAGGGGCTCAAAACAAGACATTTTACAGTTTACATCAAGCCACTAAACAGCTCACAAATAAGCCTAAAATACCATGCAAAAATAGGCCTAAAAGAGAGTTAAAGAGGCAAGTGATAGTAGAAGACCTCAAACAGCAAAAGGTCCTTAATCAAACATGAAAAGGAGCTCAAAATATTATTATTTACAGTTTGGGTCGGAGCCCAAAAATTCTTGCAAGAAAGGCTTAGATATAGAGCAAGATAGGAACAAAAAAGAGGGAAAAGAAGCTTACCCTTGAAGACCAATGGACCAGCAGCTCTTGGTCTGAGAAATGGTGCTCCTAAGCTCTGAAAAATAGCTCCAAGTTTTTGGAATGGATGGTGGTGGGGTGTATACCAAAAACCGGGGCAAACGGAGGTGGTTAAGTGGTCCCGAACCGAGGCACACGGCCGTCGGCTCCGAAAAAAATTGGAAACCGGGCTCCAAATGGGGAAAATGGCCTACGACCACAAAACATAGCCTACGGCCACTGAGAGATGATCTACAAGACTTCTCCCTCCCTTTGGGAAGAGAAAACAAAGAAAACAGAGCCTGGTTCGCAAACCGAGGCAAGGCATGAAAGAGTCCGGAAGTCCGGAGGCAAGGCTTGCAGCCGGGACTCTGAAACTTCTGAACAAGCGCAATATGAAATATCACCAATCGCTCAACTGGTGACATCTGAGTCTTAAGGTCGGTCAAAAATGGGGTGTCTACAGTGGGCAGGGGTGTGGCTTAGCAAAAAAGAGAGAACGATGTGGAAGGCTATTCCAATGGCTGTAATGTGGTCTCCATGGAATCATCGTAATGAATGCTTGTTTAGAGATGCTATCCCAAGTGTGGTAGGTGTGATTGATCTAATTAAGTTTAGATAGGCCTAAAAGAGAGTTAAAGAGGTAAGTGGTAGCTGCTGGCCTCAAACCGAAGAGAGCCCTTCAACAAAGTTGAAGAGGGGCTCAAAACAAGACATTTTACAGTTTACATCAAGTCACTAAACAGCTCACAAATAAGCCTAAAATACCATGCAAAAATAGGCCTAAAAGAGAGTTAAAGAGGCAAGTGATAGTAGAAGACCTCAAACAGCAAAAGGTCCTTAATCAAACATGAAAAGGAGCTCAAAATATTACTATTTACAGTTTGGGTCGGAGCCCAAAAATGCTTGCAAGAAAGGCTTAGATATAGAGCAAGATAGGAACAAAAAAGAGGGAAAAGAAGCTTACCCTTGAAGACCAATGGACCAGCAGCTCTTGGTCTGAGAAATGGTGCTCCTAAGCTCTGAAAAACAGCTCCAAGTTGTTGGAATGGATGGTGGTGGGGTGTATACCAAAAACCGGGGCAAACAGAGGTGGTTAAGCGGTCCCGAACAGAGGCACATGGCCGTCGGCTCCGAAAAAAATCGGAAACCGGGCTCCAAACGGGGAAAATGGCCTACGACCACAAAACATAGCCTACGGCCACTGAGAGATGATCTACAAGACTTCTCTCTCCCTTTGGGAAGAGAAAACAAAGAAAACAGAGCCTGGTTCGCAAACTGAGGCAAGGCATGAAAGAGTCCGGAAGTCTGGAGGCAAGGCTTGCAGCCGGGACTCTGAAACTTCTGAACGAGCGCAATATGAAATATCACCAAGCGCTCAACTGGTGACGTCTGAGTTTTAAGGTCGGTCAAAAATGGGGTGTCTACAGTGGGCAGGGGTGTGGCTTAGCAAAAAAGAGAGAACGATGTGGAAGGCTATTCCAATGGTTGTAATGTGGTCTCTGTGGAATCATCGTAATGAATGCTTGTTTAGAGATGCTATCCCAAGTGTGGTAGGTGTGATTGATCTAATTAAATTTAGATTGGCTGTAGTTCAAGGAAGTGTTTAAGGATCATATTTTCACAGTGAATGATTTTATCTTCAATATAGAACACATTAGATTTTGTGTGAGAGGTGGTTTCAGGAGCGAGCTGTAAGGTTGCTTCGTGAGTTGGGATGGGTTGCCTCAACTTTCTGTGAAGGAATCCAAAGTCTGATTATTAGTCTGTAGTGAAGTTGATTTTTAGTCTATGGTTGAACTGTGCAGAAATCCAGTGTCTGGTTGGGGTTGGTACTGGTGGTTGGTTTGGAGCCTCAATAGGGAGCTGATTTGCTGATGTTTTGTTATTTGGTACTAGTCTTGGTCCTGAATTTATGAATTGCTGAATTGCTGATCTGTTGATGGCCTGAAGCAAAGGATTGTTGTTGTTGCTATACTACTATATTTAGGGACTGTTAAGGTTTGCTACTAATTACTAGTTTGCTGTAAAGTGTTTGTTTTGTTATTGGTTTTGATGCTAATTGCTGTTAAATGCTGGTTCTGTGTTTTTTTCCCCTCCTCTTTTTTTGGTTCTTTTGATTGGTTCCTCACCAATCTTGGATTCAGTGCTAGCATAGGATTGTGCTTCAGTATCGGTGCTAACCTAGTTAGGATCGGTATGGTCAGCTATGATACTATTTGCACTTCCCGTATTTGTTGATGTAAGTTTTCGCATGTATCTTACTTTCTTAATCAATAAAATTTCATTTTGCTAATCAAAGAAAAAAATGCAGTAAAAACTGGATAAAGAAAAAACAATAATAAAATATTGAGAAGATAACATTACAAAAAATTAAGGTTTTAGAGACTAAAATTTAGGGACAAAATTATTTTTTAGAAACCAAATATTTTTGTTACGAAAAGCGCTATTATATTTTTAGCAACTGAAATTAAACATTAGTGATGAATTATTATCTTTTTGAGACCAAATTTTTTGTCTAAAAATAAATCATTTTGTGACCAAATTATTTTGTCCCTAAAAGTTTATTTATTAGTGACATTTTTAAAATTTTGTCGCTAAAAGCCTTATTTTTGACTTTTCCGAACGACCTTTTAGCAACTATCCTCACGACGATAGAAATTGGTCTTTAAATGTCTTTTACAACAAAATTTTCGCTTTTAGGGATTAAAAAATTTGATCTCTAAAACTCTTATATATTATGGTGTGAGCACTTAGTTTTGCGTGGCTTATTGTAAAACTCCAATTCAGTATTTTTTTCTTGAAAATATAATTAGATACTATATAGTATATGATGTCTTGACTATGCAGATAATAATAGTCGCCTTGGTCCATGGATAGGAGTTAGGATTTGAGAATAGGACTTGGGATATTTTTTTGGCTTCTTTGCCTAGTAGATATTGATCAGCTCTAGAAGTTATTTCACCACCATGTCAATCCACACATTGTGACAAAGGACCTAGGCATATGTGATTGACTGCAATCTCTCTCTCATATGTTAATTCTAATTTCCTTGGTTGTTTCACATAAGAATCTGATTGAAGGAAAAGTTTAACCTCTGGGAAAACAGGATCTAGCTTTTGTTGCATTTTGGTATTGGAGCTGGAAGATTAAAATTGTTATTCAAGTTTAAAACTAGAGTCCCACGTACCATTGGGAACCCAACCACATAGAACCATGCATATATATAGCTGAAAATAACATGCAAGAAAATTGACAATAAAAAACTGAAAAAAAAAAAAAAAATCATTTAAGTGGTTTTGCTAGTTTATCCCAACTGAACTTTTATCTAGGAGATCATCAAAACTTAACCTGGAGAAGATAATGTGAAACAAATCTTTAACATAAAATATATCGAGATCATGTACTTGCACTAAATTATCTAATATCAAAAGACTTGACATTGATCACAGAAGTGGGAACACAGTCACACAACAAACTGTTATTTGGTTAATCGTGTTAGATTTTTTGCCATTAACTCATCAACAAATTTTAAGTCCATTCAATGTATATAAAGACTAATTTTTTTATAATTTTTATTCAATGCGAGATTCTATCTTTACCCATGTTCTAACAATCTCTCTTTTATGTTTGAATCCATTGGGTTTAGCTCCTCATTGAGTCTGATCTATCATCCTTAGATTTACGATTTACTGTAGACTGTACACAATCCCTTAAGTCTAATCCATCACTCTTCAACACTGTGTTCAACTCAGACAACCTGCACACACTCTATTGTGAGCCACTATACCCTATCAAGAGCCACCAACCCACGAGCCTTTCAGCTACATGCACCTTGATTTTCCTTGCTCTTGGACTTTTTCCACTTCATTTAGAGTCCGTACAAGTCCACCAACATAGTTTGAACCAGGAAAATCCGCCACTCATAAATCATCATCCAACAATAAAATCAACATATTGAGCTTAAGGTTTTAGAGGGAAGAGTGACTTTATAATTTATATTCACAATAAATATGATGGTTAGCCTACTATCAATGAATAGTGCATAAAGTTTAGAAGTGTGGATTGCTCAACCCTATAACTTAATAATTCCCTTACAAGGAACCATTAATCTAACAATGTGACTTAAACACTAGAACTAGACTTTGGTATTACATTATTAAATTGTTAACCATTAATTCATCTAAAAATTTAAATTGTTAGAGAAAGTTTAAACACATCAAAACCTGTAGTTAATTTTTTTTAACAACAAAAATTTATAGTTTACTACTGAAGAAATAGTCAGACCGATGGTTTGATTATATATCTACTCTTGCATAAATACAAAGAATTAATGCAACAAAGTTTAAGCACATAGCAAAGAGAAAATATCCTATAGCTAATAAGATAAAATTTGAAAGAATAAAAAAAATAAACAAAAAAGAAAAGAAAAGAAAAGAAAAAGAAAGAAGGAGACATTAAAAAATGGATAGCATTCATGAAGATGAAAGGTTTTTCACATTACCTTGCATGTTCCCTACACAAGAATGATATTTATTTTTCCTCTGAAACAAGTACCAACAAGATCTCACTAGAATTACCTAATTCATATAGTCAGATCCAGAGTACTTGCCATTGTTCGATTCTTTGTAATATCATCGTCTTCTATCAACTTGCTAACTTTGGATGGAAAATTTAAATCTATAGAACTGTTTTCTTTCTTTGAACAAGAAAACAAAGAAAGAGACAAGTCACTATCCACTTCTTCACCCCCAAACCTCTTCTTGATTTCCTCATCTTGTCTTGACTTCAAGCTTAATGACAGATCAAGATCAAGGCAATGACTGTCCTCAGCTTTTCTCTTCAACGTGTTAGTGATCAATGATTTGTTAAAGAAATTCACATTCTCTCCTCCACACCCATGCCATTGCCTCCTGGTGAGTTGGTTGGATTGATCACAACTGTATTGTAACCTAAAATCTTGAGAGCACTCATGGGTTTTCTTGCTATTTTGCACTGTGATTGTAGAACTATTATCGATGTAGAAAGCTCCATTCCTTCTGTTCATACCAATAGCCCCATGGAACTCCTCAGCTACTGAACCATGAAACCTTGACAGCCAACTTCCATGGCCACTCCAAGAAATATCCCTATATCGGAAAATATATGATAATGCTTGTTAAAGGTCATGAAGAACACTTCATTATGCTCGCATTGATGCAAATCAACATTGTTGTGAACACAGAAAAAAGATCTATAAAAATGTTCAACAAATGAGATGTGTGGGGGTGTGATCCACACCACACAAAATCTGAATCTACACAATATATTTCATATTTTGAATACATTTATAAATACGTTTTTCTAGGTGCATATTATTTTCCGATGCCAATACATGAGAAACTATTATCGTACCTGAAATCAGACCGAAGTTTTTGATCATGCATTAGGGGCTGCCAAAAGCTGTGGACGAGGTGATCTGCACTTCCTGTGAGATGCCCTCTACCATTTATTACTGTCAAGCCAATGAAAGACAACAATTTCAGAACATCAAAACATGCTTGGATTACCCAGTAAATAAACCTTAATTTTCTGAATATAACATAATAATCTGGATAGAGTACTATCTCTCTCTTGATTCTATTCTTTTTTCTGAAAAATAAAATTAAGGGTGACTCAAAACCCTAATTTTCTAAAAATAACATAATAATTTGGATTAGTCTATATACCCTGGCCCTGATTATCAATCTTCTTGCTCCGGTACATCTGTGACAGCAAAATCCAGAAAACAACATAGGAGAAAGTCAATATAATGAATAATCAGCATAAACCAAAAAATCATATTCCATTTTTAGTTTTTGTTTCTTGAGCGTTGAACATAAATATGTTACCTGCAAGTGACTCTTGACATGAGCAATGCTTAGGCCCTTGATATTCATTAGTTGCAGAACTAATTTAGGTGTTGCTCCTATCACCAATGAGTAGATCATAATCATCAATAGTATTTCTTTTTTGCAGATCCAAAAAAAAAAAAAAAAAAAAAAAAAAAGTTTTTTTCCTAAATGGGAAAGTTTAAATTTTTTTATTTTTATTTTTTCAATATGAATAAACAATTGTGCTGTTGGAATAGTAAGAAACACATTATTACAAGAAGTTCTTTAGTTTATTTTCATGTAAAGGCTTGATTTTTTAGAGTGAGCAATTGGGTCAACATGCATTTATGCAGCTCAATGGTGAACCATGGCCCATGGGTGATGATCTGACTTCGTAGCTCACATAACAAAAGTCAAGGTGACACCAACCATTAACAAAGTGGGTCCAAAATTTAATGTGTACGAATCTAGAATATGGAAGTGTAGCCCAACTGGTTGGGAGAGAAAATTTTTAAAGGCAAGTCGTAAATTATGGACATTTTGAATTCGATTCTCACTCCCAGTTAGTTTTCTCAAGGGTCACTACTTGTTGCCTGGTCGATCGGCTAAGGATTCTGAGATTAGTCGAAGTGTGCGTCCTAAAAACATACTGACTTTGTAATATATATATATATATATATATTTTATTCTACAAATAATTTTTTTATTAAATATATAAAATTAAAGGTCCAAGGAAAGTAGAATGTACAAGGAGAGATTTAGAGATGGTAAAAACTCTCCTGCATCCACACAACTAATCTCTCAGCTTCACAATTGTAAGATTTAAAAAACAAGAACTAGAAACAAAGAAAGAATAACAAAATGAAATAGGAAGTTAAGATCTTAACTCCAGAAGACAGTGCCCCCTACTACAAATTCAACCACCTCCAAAACTTAGAAGGTGGTGAATGGTTAAAAATTAGAATCTTGATCATGAGAAGGGACAACTTGCATGAGATAGTAAACAGTAATGTCGAAGTGCACGTAAAACTATATTAAATAGTGCAAAAATAAATAAATAATGTATACTCTAAATTCAATTTGGATGTGATCAATAGATATAACTTTTACCTAATTTTTTTTTACTGTTAGACACAATTATAGATTTTATATATATTTATTAACGTGAATTATTTTATTTTTGTATGTAATAGTAAGCAATCTGATAAAAAAATTTGCTTATGTATTATATTATTCAACATTATTGAATTTCAAAACATTGATATAAAAAAATTCTAGAAATGTAAATAGTGGAGAGGCAAGGTGTTGGGAAGTCTGTGCTAATGATACTTCTTGTCGGAGTTCACGGATTTGTCTTTGGTTCTTACCACGAACAATACCTATAAAAACAAAAAGTTGTAATTTGTAAATCTCTTAGATTCCTCTATTTATTAATATCTATCAAATGTTGATAACATGGTCCTCCTGTCTTGGGTCATTCCCAATACATGATTAGAGGATTGCTCCCACGCTTTACTGGTTGATACTCTTCAATGGAAGATAACAATCCATATGAAGCTTCTTGTAACATTCATATATGAAGTTTAAATTTAACATGAAAATTGAATAAATGTTAAAATTATATTTAAATTTGGATTTTTATATAATGTGAGAATCTCAAATGAATTTTTAACGAATTGAACGTAAATAGCTTGCTTTTTTATAATGGATTTGTGATTTTCGAGCCAAATAATAGGTTGTTCAATCATGATTTGAAAATTTAATGAGATTAAAAATGTGTTGAAACTTAACTTACGAACAAGCAAATCTCGAACGAGTGTTTAAGGAGTTGAACACGAATTGAACTCTAGTAACTTGGTTCTTTTTGCAATCTTATCTAATTCTAATATATTTTTAAAAAAATTTAAAACACAAATATTTCGAGACACGATCATTCGTTTAAGAGTGCATTAGGAACAAAGAACATAAATTTTAAGATAGAAGATTCTATGCCATTCGATTGAGCTTACATTAGTTGCAATTTAGGGTTGGATTTTTTGGGAGTATAAATTTTAGGATTAGTTCTCTTTTTATTTTTTATTTTTATAATCAGGTGTTCGGGTCAGTTTACGCACACATCAATTAATCTCGGGATCCACGCAAAATGCCCCTTCTACCTAAATCAGGCAAATTTCGAGCAGAACTCAATAATGTGGTTCTAAGGAGTTGATACCACCTCGCAGGAGTTGAACATGAGATCTGTAAGGAGCACATCCCCAGGTCCCAAACTGCACCCACTAGACCAATCCCTTGGGATTGTTCTTTTTAGTTACTTATCACTGTATTGGAAATCGGAATGCGAATAAAATTTTGAAAAATAATAATAAGGGTAAAGTTCACTCAATTCTCTTGAAGTTTGAAAAAATATAGTTAGTCCTACACTTTTTAAAGCTATCAAAACTAATTCCAACGGTGTATAGACACTATTAGGGCTGAGTAGAAAAATCCAAAAAAATTGCAAATCGGTTTGATTCAGATCAAACTGCACTATTTGGTTTGATTTTCTCAATACACAGTTTGGTTTTGGTTATTAAAATAGGCAAACCGTACTTTATGGTTTAGTTCGTGATTTCATAGTTAAAGATCTTGCTTGGAACCGAACCGTACCTTCTTTTTTTTTTTTTTTTTTTTTTTACAAAGTAAAAATATCATTAAAAACATAAAATTAAAGGTACAAGGAAATGAGTTGTATATATAATTTGTTATTTACTGTAAACACTCAAATATCTTATTAATATTAAATATATATACATAATGTTACCCAAAAATCAACTTAAGAAATGGGTGAATTAGGTTTCTAGAAATTAAAATGAATATTACCCAATAAAAATCACAACTAGTATAACAGATTGATGAATGCTGAAGAATAGATGATTAATAAAGATGAATAAGCATAGTGATGAAATATCAGTGAAGTAGAGCTAAACAATAAATATAGTGAATGATTTTTCTTGACTTAACAGATTATGAGATAGTTAAATTAGCAAAGGATTTAGTTAGCACAATTAAGAAATTAATCAAGTTAATAGAAAGTTATATAACAGTCTGATATAGTAGTCAAGCGAAGAGATTATATGTTTAGCACAAAAACAACAACTACTATATATGTTAACACAGAGACCATATCAGATAGATATAAGAGTTGAGGAATTAAAGAGATAAGGAAAGAAGAAGCAAACAGATTTATAGTGATTCGGCTTTAACCAAGCCTACATCCACTCCTCAAGTTTCATTTGAGATTTTTCACTATCCTCTAACTTTACAGAGGCGCTAGTAATATCTTCACAAATTATTCAATTCTCTATAGATTTTATACAAACTTTCCAAGTCCAAACCTTGCCTTCCTTAGGTGATTCTTAATCACACTCAAAGAGTCAAGAACACTAAGTATACCACACTCTTACAAAATTAAAATGAACGTGTTTTTGCTTTCAAAGAAAGCTACAAGAATAATCTCTCAAAAATAGATATACAATA